AAGAGTTTAATGAGAAATGAGCACTCTAGTGGCAGTGGCTGAGTTTGAAGTTGTTTTTATTTTTACGTTTTTTTGAGAAAAATAAAAATAAAAATAAAAACGGGTAAAAAATATGTTTAGTATAATTAAAGATAAAAAAATAAAAATAAAAATAATTTTTTAATTTAATATAAAATAAAAAATAAATAAAAAATAATTTTAGTACGTGTTTAGAATTATTTTTTAAAATAATTTTTACATATTTTAAAAGTTGTTTTTATTTTTACGTTTTTTTGAGAAAAATAAAAATAAAAATAAAAACGGGTAAAAAATATGTTTAGTATAATTAAAGATAAAAAAATAAAAATAAAAATAATTTTTTAATTTAATATAAAATAAAAAATAAATAAAAAATAATTTTAGTACGTGTTTAGAATTATTTTTTAAAATAATTTTTACATATTTTAAAAAATAAAAAATAAAAATAAAACGACGTTTGTTTAGTAAATATTTTAAAAATAAAAACACTGAAAATGATTTTTATGAATAAATTAAAAAATAGTTAAATTTTTTTTTATTTTTTATTTTTTAATACTTATCTATAATATCATAATATATTAATTAATAAATATAATTTTACTTTTTATTATATTTAAATTAATCTTTAAAAAATTAATCAAACATAATTTTAAAATTAATTTAAAAATAAAATTATTTTAAAATTAATTTTAAACGCACCAAAACAAGCATAAGATAGAAATGAATGTAACAACGCCAAAACTAAAGAGAAAAACAGAAATTAAGAGTAAGCTGGCAGGTCAACCGCCACGTGCCAGATTCTACATCTTTTTGTTTTCTTCTTCTTATTCATGTGCGTGGAAGATTATTCATTAAGGCGGTTGTCGTTTTCTTTTTCTTTTTTTTTTATATGTAGATCTTTTTTTTTCCCTTTTTCTTAAGGTTAGTAGAACCGGCTTAGTAAGAAAGTTGGATTAGTTCCCTAAAAAAATATGGGAGTCCCAAAAATAGTAATAAAATAATTTTTAAAATTTTTTATTTATAAATTGATTATGGAATGACCATCTATTACAAAAATAATAATAATAATAATAATTTACATAAATAATTTTTAATCTTTTTAAAAAGTAACAGTTTGATTTTTTTTTTTTTTTTACAAAACGACTCTCAATTTATTTAAAAATGTACAATTCCATTATTTCTGTTAAATTATTAATAAAATTAATTATGCGTAAGAATGTGATCTTATTTAATAAAATGTATTTTGATAAAATACCAGGGAAGCTCTCATTCTCTCTCTTTCTCTCTCACACATCTCACGCTCTTTCCCCGCCCCTCTTTCTATGCTCTCTCTCTCTCTCTCTCTCTCTCTCTCTGGAGTCCTAGGAAAGAAGCCGACTCGGCGAAGCTCTGCCTCTTTTGCGACCAGCACATCCACTCCGCAAACCTCCTCTCTAGAAAACACCTATGATCCAAGATCTGCGACAATTGCGGGTCGGAGCCCATTTCCATTCGTTGTTCCACTGAGAATCTAGTGCTCTGCCACGACTGCGACTGGGACGCCCACAACAATTGTCCCTCCGTCTCTACCTCCCACGACCGGACCTCTCTCGACGGCTTCTCCGGCTGCCCCTCCGCCCTCCAACTCGCCTCCCTTTAGGGCCTCGACCTCACGGATCCGACCCGACTCAATCCTAAGTCCGGATCGGGAGAGCTCGGTGGATTGGGGTTTCAGGACGTGGTCGTGCCGGGGGAGGATCAGAATGGCGTTGTTTGCAAGAGGAAGAGGAAAAAGAAACGGGTGATGTACAAGCAGCTGGCGGAGCTGCTGAGGAGGGAGTATTTGTTTGTCAGCGGCAGTGGAGAGATAATGGCGGCGGAGGAGGAGGAAGCGCTGTGTTTGGGGATTAATGGAGATGATCGTGATGTTGAGGAGAGAAGCTCGATGGAGATGAGCGGGACTACGGATCTAGCGATGAACATCGCTGGAATTTGAGGATTGATGAAACTGGGTTTTGCAAGTTGAAGATCCCAAATCCCACCCACGCCGAACCCAGTCGTCAATCGCGTCTCCCCGCTCGTCGCTCTCGCGAGCTAAAAAACCAGAGCTAAAAAGGGAAAATTATTCTAGGGGCATTTTAAGTCATTTTACTGAAAAAATGAGGTCACGTGACATGTTCTCTTTAAAATTTAACATAATTTAACGGAAATGACTAAACTATCACCTTATAAAGAGGTTGAGGGTCGTTTACTAAAAAAAATTAAGGACCAAACTATCACTTATTAAAAAAGTTGAGGATCATTTGTGTAAATTATTTTTAAAAAAAAATTAAATAGGTCATCGTTCTTTATAAAAAAAATTTTAAAAAAAAGTTATTTTATCAATTTCACTTAATGAGATTTCATTATTTTAAAGTTAAAAAAAAAACAACCCAATCAAACACAATTTCACTCATATGGCAGTTTTATTTTGCATTAGAGAGAGTATGGCAGTTTTATTTTGCATTAGAGAGAGTAAAAGTTATGAGTGATTTCATTTTTCATTTAATAATGTGTTTACTTACAAAATCATTAAGGGTTCGTTTGGTTCATACGTTTAAATCAATAATTCTTGATTTTGACATTTAAATTTTAAATTTTTTATGCAAGAAAATACTGTAACAAAATCAAAACTATGGGTTTAAACGCATAAAATAAACGAACCCTAATAAGCATTTAGAGAACCCTACGCAAGGTAAGAAATGAGGAAAGAGAATGTCAATCATATCATCCTAATATTAGTAAAACTAAAAAGGTAATGAGGTTGTTTCTCATTACACCATCTAATAATTAAGTAAACACTAAACATTTAAAAGGACATCAATTATTCATATTCTTATTATTATACTTTTCTTTCTAATCTCATTGTCTTTTCTATTATATTCTTTTACGGTGTAGTAAACGTCCATATTATAGTCGAATGGTCTTTCATAATACAATTTTAAGTAGTTATATTTGCACCCCAAAAATTAATGGATGTCCCCACTAATAAATGTTTATCTAATAAATATTTAAAAAATCTATCCTCTTCTAGATTTAGTTTTCATAATACTAATTTAACCCTTTCATACCCCCACCTAATTTTAATATTAATTTAATTTATAAAAATAATATAATTCCTTTTAACTATTAATATTATATTTTCTTTTTCAAAATTAGGACAATTCTCTTTACCTTTATTTATTAATTATCTTCGCCTTATCTCCTCATCCTTCTTCTTCTTTGAACAAGGAAGTACAAGACAACTCTCTAAATTTGATCCTCACAAAGCTGCTCTTTTGATTGTTTTGGCTATTTTATCACGTTAGTATAAAACAAAACGTGGGGTATGTTCTATTATTCCTTTAAAAAATACTTTCTAATTATAGTTAATTTGTTTTATGCTCTTTTATTTTTTTAATAAATATTATGTCCGTTTATAATTAATGTAGGGGTATGTTAATAAGTTTTAATGTAAGTTTAATACATTGTAAAATTGTAATAAATATAAAGTATAAATGAGAGTAAATATAATTATTCTATTTATTGATTTCAAAATTTAAATCCAAAACCAATATCCTTAATCCTTAAGATACAAAAAATGAAATGCGAATTAAAGGAGCCCTAGTAAAGTTGGGCAAAGCAAATCACATGAGACACGTATTCTTTTTTGTCTAATTTAAAACCTCATCATTTGATTTGAGAAGATTTATCACTAAATTAAGATTTAAAAAACTTTGTCAAAATTAAAAGATCGGGACTAAGTTGTAACGTACTTACTAATCCAACCCTATATGTAATAAATTTATAATGTACTCGCAACTTATTTCCCGCTCAAAATGAAAAGATCAAGAACTAAATAGTGGAATGATTAGTCTCTGATCTTTGATTAGCGAAAAAAATCCATGATCATTCAATATTTCACATATATCTATATATTTTTATATGCAATATCAGATCAAGAAATTCAGTTGCACATACATAATTTTGAGGGCGCGTTTACCAAACCGTGAAGGAATATAACAAGAACGGAATGGGATTGAAAAAGAAAAGAAAAGAAAATAATTAAAGATCACTCATTCCTTTTTAAGTGTTGACTTAAATATTAGATGATGTAATAAGAAACAATCTCATTCCATTTCTTATGTTTATTAAAATTAAGAATAATAATGTTATGAATTTAACCACTAAAATACTCTGACACAATTTGATAACCATTGACTATATAGTAATTCACTAAGAGTAGATAAATAAATTTAACATTATTCCTTTTGACAAGAAATTGATACTAAAAGTAGTGTAAGAATTGACATTCTATTTTCTCATTCTCTAAATTATGTGAGACCTACTAAATCTCTATTACGAATTTTATATGTAAACACATTATTAAATAAGAAAAGAAATTTTTGCTCACTTTTTCTTTCCCTTTGATGCAAAATAAACATGCCATTAGTGTTAGGTCCAAAACTAATAAAAAACAATTAAGATTTTAATTGAAGCAGTTAGTATGTTACGTGCAAATCGAGTTGGATTCAATGTTGTGAAGACGATACAAGCGTAAATCCATAGTTTTTAAGTTAAAATGTGTCGATTTGATCAGATGAACACGAACACCCGTAAATTACCCAATGTAGAAATCTAACTAAAACAATTGTGATCAATCCTATTTTTATCTCCGAACTACAGGCAAAACGATATTTTGGTACATGAATTTCGAAGCGTCCCAAAAGACGTTCTTGAGTATCCGTTTAGTTGGAGGATTCGTTCTCTGATTCGAATCATGGTTCATGATTCGTTACAGTATTTTCTCTCACAAAAAACACACGTAAATAAAAAATAATTCTTATCTCATAGTTCTAATCCATGAACCAAACAGGCTAAAATCATACCATACTTTGCCCATGTCAAAAATGTCAAGTTTTTAGCAGGAAGAGGAACCTTAGCGCCATATGATGAGTTCTTATAATATTTAGGGCAGGCTTACGAAGCAACTTTTGCACCCATTAAAAATAAAAAAATAAAAAATAAAAACCATAGAGGGATTCTCTAAATTATGTGAGACTTACTAAATATCTATTACGAATTTTATACGTAAACACATTATTAAATAAGAAAAGAAATTATTGCTCACTTTTTCTTTCCCTTTGATGCAAAATAAACATGCCATCAGTGTTAGGTCCAAAACCAATAAAAAACAATTAAGATTTTAATTGAAGCAATTAGTATGTTACGTGCAAATCTAGTTGGATTCAATGTTGTGAAGACGATACAAGCGTAAATCCATAGTTTTTAAGTTAAAATGTGTCGATTTGATCGGATGAACACGAACACCCGTAAATTACCCAATGTAGAAATCTAACTAAAACAATTGTGATCAATCCTATTTTTATCTCCGAACTACAAGCAAAACGACATTTTGGTACATGAATTTCGAAGCGTCCCAAAAGACGTTCTTGAGTATCCGTTTAGTTGGAGGATTCGTTCTCTAATTCGAACCATGGTTCATGATTCGTTACAGTATTTTCTCTCACAAAAAACACACGTAAATCAAAAATAATTTTGATCTCATAGTTCTAATCCATAAACCAAACAGGCTAAAATCAAACCATACTTTGCCCATGTCAAAAATGTCAAGTTTTTAGCAGGAAGAGGAACCTTAGCGCCATATGATGAGTTCTTATAATATTTAGGACAGGCTTCCGAAGCAACTTTTGCACCCATTAAAAATAAAAAAATAAAAAATAAAAACCATAGAGGGCCAAGTCTAGGATACGAGGAGGGGTAAGAGCGATCTCAGCTCTAAACTCAATCATGTAAGCTTTGACTTCTTGAAAAAGAGCCACAAAACATCTGCAGATCAATCTTCCTCCCAAATTAAAACAAATGTAGCAACAAATTAATATGAAACCACCATAAAACGTCGATTCATATCATTTTGAGTTGCAAGGGGCAAAGTGAAACAATCCCTCTTCAGGGGTCAAATTAAAAATAAACCCTTAAAACAATTGCAGGATGGACAACTGACCCAGGAATATGCCATACAGGGATCTATAGATATTAGTATATTGCACAATAACCGTTTGTTCAGTGATCTCATGGCAAATGAATAGTTGCAAGGGGCCAGCAGGCAAAAATTCCATAATCAACTCATTTGAAAAGAAGACTTAAATTAAATACATATTGTTGGAGACTTGGTCTACAGATTGGTCGCACAGATATATCCACCAGAGACACAACATTGACTGTTAAGATACAAGAAAATTAAAATTATCAAATTTATAAGTCCTAAAACTGAAGCAGGAAAAAAACAAAAAACAAAAAACAGAAACAATAGACAAAAACAAAAGGGTTGGGGAAAGGTATCCACAGAATACCACTTTTCCGCAAATCCTCCCCGCTTTTCAAGCTCCTCTAAACTTGGCCTCGTATACTTGAGGTTGCTGCAAGATTGACAGGAATATTCGTCAAAAAATTACATTAGATATTCGGCAAAATTACAAGTCATCAAAATAAAATTGTTGAATCAGTGTCACAGAATGTAAGCACTAAAAGAATGATGTTTTGATCTCGTAAAATCTATTGCCTCCTTGAAAAGACACGGAAAGATTCTCAAGTTTGTCTTAATTCACATGTTCTAATTTATCAAGAAAAAAAGAAGCTTCATTCACAAAGGACAAAAAGGTCACACCCCTGGAATTTCAATGGAAAAGACGCATCATAATTACAAGTACAAGAGACACTGAAGCAGTGTGAAAATCTTATTCAGAGCAATGGTTAAAGTTCTTTCAAGTCTCATCAATTAATTAGATGAATTAAAAATATCATAAGAAAGGAAAATTTATTTTCATCACAAAGGCGCATATTTTCGAGGAATTCTGTATTACCATGAACAAGGCTGAAATCTGCCTTCCAGCAAACCATCTCCCATGCATTGCACGCTGAGCAGCTGCAGCTGCTTCTGCAGTTTCAAACCGCAAATAAACACACCCAGCACTGTTTCTGCACAATAAAACAATTTGGATTGAAAATCTTGAGATAAAAAAAAGCATTGACACGAGAGAGGAAAACTTGAACAGGCAAAATCAGCAATGGTAACCAATTCAAAACCCCTTACATCGTGAACAGACTTTCCCTTTAAAGGTATTTTAGCGAATGATTTTTAAATTTTTTTTGGTTTTTAAGAAACCACAAAAATGGGAAGTAGCGCATCATTAACACCTCAGAATAGAAAGCTTCCAAGTTGGCTAATCTTCAACTGCATTGCCTATGAATTTTCTTTTCATCAACTTGAGTAATATCAGAGCGCGAGAATTTGGATGAAGTTTTCCCAAAGATGGTGAGGCATCAAAGTATATCAGTGTTATTTCTTTTCTCTCTTAAAGGGAGGGTAATTGTTGTTTGAGACCAAGCAGTCGAGTGGATATAAAGACCCTTGATTCACGAAGTTATTTTCAATAAAATCACAAACTCCCGTTTATGCTATTTTTAGATTAAGCATATATGGCGGTCAACATAAAATAGTTTAAAACATGCAACATAAGGATTTTGTATAGCACTTCTAATAAGACTTGTGAAAATGAGAACAAATATGAGGATATAAACAAAAAGGTTTATAATTGTTGGCAGGCTATCTTCGTTATATACTTACTTGTCCACATAAATATGTACCACCCTGCCACATTTAGAACACTCTTCCTCTACGTCCTCTTTAATATCTACATCAAACTCTGGATCAGTCTGAAAAAAAAAAGGGTGTGATCAGTTTCTTTTTCTTTTTCTTTTCGGCTCTTTAGCCCTCTAAACAGAGATAAACCAAAATTGACAAGAAAACCACGAACCTCTGTGGCAGGATCAAACATATTGTTCAGCAGTAGACATTCAGTAGGACTTCCAACAGGAATCGTGGCAGCAACCGGAAGAACTGGTGCAGTGACTGCAGCTTGTCCATTAATTGGCAAGTTCATCACACTTTGATTTGTAACTGACCCATTCAGAGCGGGCACCCCAAGAGACCCCACCATACTGAAAAAGTTAAAACAAGTTAAAGATATGGCTAAGACAAATCAAGAGGAAAGAGAAAGGGAAGTCAAAGAAGAAGATAAGACTTAAACCTTGTGGCAATACCAGAGCGGTCCAACTTTTGCATAAGTAATGCTCTTGATTGAGCATTTAAAGACTGCAAAGAAAATATCCATACGTAAAAAAAAGGACTTGATTCCATCACAAATTTAAGCGTTCTTTGAGAATCAGGTCATTGCTGATTGACTTAATAGATCAGATGCTGGAGACACCAAAAAAGTCCCTGGTTTATGATGACCAGACTTTGTAATCACAAGTGTTTCAAGGAATAAAATTCATATTCTGTTTTGAGCATTGGTAAATTGATGAATCAAAGGTCACAAGTACAAAAACAAGTCTGAGCAAGTGAGTGAACACAGAAAAAATACACGGGGTTCCTAATAAGTTCTTTAGGAGCTCGCAGGAATGGAACAATCCATTGAGACTATTGCCCTCTTTAGGAGCTTGTAGAAATCAAACTATGTATAACGTGTGATGAAAAAGTGAATTTTTCTAGAGCTGTTTGCATATATGTTTTTGTGCCTCCAACATGCTTTGCTAAACAACTACACAATTTATAAATTTCATGATGTAGCATGAAACTAAATTATAACTTGTTAGGGGTAAAACAGCTAGGACAAAACACTAACTCCAGTTCTACAGAATCTACAGCATTTTGACACATATGCATTCATGATTTTCATAATAAATTTTTTTATGATTTGTGACATTGCTCTTTTGCTAAAGGGTAGGGAAAAATAGCAGCAAATCTTATGTATGCATAAATTAATGTCTATCTAATATACTAAAACAAATTAGCTTTACCAAGCCACCCCCTTCATCATCATCAAAATCTGCGGATTTTGCTCCAGGATCTTGTGTCCCAACATGATCGGTTACAGATGAAACCTACACAGCCAAGTTAAATGGACATCAGCTGAAATGGGAGATGATAGCTACTGATGGTCACAAAACAAACATGGACAACCAAACAAGAAATCAAAGTATTACAACAACATATTCCAACAGAATTGAATATACAAATGTAGAACTTGACAAAGAAGAAAGAGAGGAGACGCTACCTTAATAGTACGACCAGCTATCTCCAATTTTCCATTCAAACTCTGAGCAGCCTTTGCATGTTCTAGTTGGGCAAACTGCAAAAGAATGAACAGATGAACACGTGAATTCTTGCCATAGATCGATAAAAATTTACTTAAAAGAAGCACGTTATCCGTTATCACTGACTTGAACAAACCCAAAACCCTTGCACTGTCCTGTTTCAAGATCAAGAGGAAGTTGCACAAGCTCCACGGGACCAAATGGTTCAAAAATCTGAGCAATCAGCACAAGAAAAAGATGTCAGGAAAAAAGTTCAATACAATCTTAAACAAAAACATCTCTAACCACCATTTTAAACATAAATTTGAGAGTCAATAGCTTGTGGTTGCATCTTTTGGACATGAAAACACTAGCACACTTGCATGATTTATCATCTTACAGGCACAATTTATCTCATATAAAATGCTATCCATCTTCCTTTAAAATTCTCTTTCTGCTTAAGGGCAGTGTCCCAATACTCATTTTGCCCAAAAATATTATCTTCAAGTTTATAAAACCAAAACACAGTACACAGTCGCAGTACCTCTCTAAGGTGAGCCTCAGTCATGTTAAAATGTAAATTCCCGACATATAGTTTTCTGTCAACTGCCCCATATGGTCCTGTCCCACCTGTGCCTCCAGAAGAAGTGTTAGATTGAACAAGGTTCTTTTCAGCTTCTGAGGGTTTCACCATTACAGGTTGTCCAAGAAGTAGTTGGCCAGAAAGTGCTATTGCCATTGGTACAGACATTGCATCATAAAATTCAATATACCTGCAGTTTCATCAAGGCCTCAAATAAATAAGTTTTCAGAACATACGTAACAGGATTATCGCAATCAAAACTTACAATGCCTATAGCAAAGAGATGTAGAGAAACAAAAACTCTAGTGCAGAGAGCTCAAGCTGAGTTTCTTTAGATGAATCTGATGACCCAGGTAAGAGAAAATGTTAGATCATCATATCCAAATACAAAAATATTAAAAATATGCCTAAAAAAAAGTCATCGAGAATACTACAAATAGTTGGTTTCAGGGGGAGAGGGGAAGTTAACAGCGGACACTTATCCACTCTACTAAGATCATGCATGTTTTTGAATTAGTTCCACAAACACAGTGTTTAACAGTGTGCTTTTGACTAAAATCCATTATTAAAAAATATTAGAATCTTAAACGTGTAAAACTCCCCTTCCACGCTCCTTCCCTCAACCCAACCCCCCCCCCAATCTGAAGGAGAAAAAAAAAAGCGAATAGAACAAAGGAAAATAACAGTGCCAGTCAGATCTGGTGTCAGAAATTCTTCAAAAAGATCAAAGTTGACCAAGTTGATTCAGTGCCTTCCATAAAATTCCAGTCCATGATAGGACGACCATAAAATTTGGCAGGACAGAGGCGCACACGGATACAGAATGGTGCCCTAAACACGAAGAGGAAGAAAACTGGAAAGAGGATAATTTAGGTTCTTGTTGTCTACCTTGAGTACGCAGCATGAATTGATTAAACATGGGTGCAAGGTATTCCCATCATCCCTCATCATTATCGCATTGCTAGTCCATTTAAGAATACAGTTAAACTTGATTCTAGAAAACCGTCACATTAATATTTGCTTTGCAAACTACATGCACATAAGATATGGCAGTTGGAAATAAATGCACATACCCAACTCCTTTTGAACGTCTAGAATTCCTATCCATGATCAGTCGCACATCCCTCACCTGAAAATAGTGGGAAAAGAAGCTGTAAGATCAGAGCATATAAAAATCTCGTAGTTAAATAACTCATATAGAGATCTTTGAGACCTCCAGACTACACATTGAAGACCTAATTGGGTTTGCTCAGAAGACAACCACCGAACTCCTGTACATTTCACTCACCCCACTTATACAGAATGTTGACACACAAGAAACTTACTACACTACTTGTAACTGAAGGCAGAGGAGCATTAACTGCAATAAGAAGTAAATGTATCTCATTACGTGCATCCATAGTGATAGCATTTCATGATTTCATGCGACAAATTGTACGTGTTCTTACACACATACAAAGATCACACATCCAAAATGCATATATACAAAATGACGCAGAGAGGTACTACGAATAGATTCAATATAAACAAGTCCCAAATGACTAAAAAAAGAATGAACGTACAAATTATTAAATGCTTCGCAGAACCCCAAAGAAATAAGAAATAAGGAAATGATTTCACAAACCTTGCCCGCTTTAGAGAAGAATTCATAAACATCTCTCTCGGTTGCCTTCAGCGGCATCTGTCATCACCAAGATCCATCATGAACGAGCCAAAACAAGCAGAGAAAACAGGGAAATCAAAGTGAGAAAGAGATATTTATGATGAGCAAAAGAGGGGGAAAAAGAGCAAGTTACAAACCTGGAAAGCAAAAACAGTTCTTTGATCCCTTTCTGGATCAGCTTCAGGCTCCGTTGCTTCTTTCTTGTCCTTAAATCTCCTGCCAACCATATTTTATTCAACAAATTAGTAACAAAACGTCCAAAAAGGAAACCTCAAATTTCAGCAGAGTTGTCTTCTTATCACATCTGTATCGAATCGTTTCGGAGCAACTAGAATTTGTTTTAAACAAGCAAAAACAATGTAAACAATGGATTTTTTTAACTGTGTTCCCTGGGACTCGAACCCAAAACTTAATGCATTAAAAGGGCAGTCTTTTTTCCAACTTAAAAAGCCAAACAACACGATGGTGGACAAGTATAGCTCATAGTATCCCCAACCCAATGATCCATTTTCATCGTCACTAAACAACTTAGCTTCCGTTTACAAACTAACTAAACTACTCACATTTTGTAGATAAGCTCAAACTTAACCAATGGAGAAGTCCTACATCATTAGCAATGCCCATTTGCTGATAAATTATAAGGCATTATAACAACTCTCTAAGCCGAAGACAATACTAAATTTGAACCAATGAACCATAACAAAACGCTAAAAATTTCACCAAACACAAAATTCAATTCAAAAACAGAAAGAAGAGATCAAGTAAGAGCTTTATTCATTACCTGCTCTCTCTCATCTCAATCTCCTTCTCCCTCTCTTTAGTTTCCCTATCGCGATCAGACCGGCTCTGGCTCCTCCGAGATCTCTCCTCCCGGACGGACCGGCTCCGGCTCCTCCTCGACCGCTCTTTCTCATCCCTCTCCCTGTCCCTCTCTCTCTTCTCTCTACCCTTCTCCTTGTCCCTCTCTCTCCTCTCCCTCTCCTTCTCCTTGTCCCTCCTCTCTCTATCCTTATCCCTATCCCTATCCCTATCTCTATCCCTACTACTCCTCTCTCTCTCGCGCTCTCTCTCTCCATCTCTCTCCTTCTCTCTCCCGCTCCGATGGTGGTGCCGATCCTTGTCGCGGCCATTCTCGTGCTCGCTCTTCGACCTCTTGCTCCGCCTCTCGTCGTCCTCTTCTCCTCCTCCGCCGCCGCCATGGACGTCGTCGGCGTGGTGGTTGTCGCCATCGTCGGCCTCTCTCTTCCGGTAGCTCTTCTCGCTGCCTCCTTCCTTCTTCGTCTTCCTCCTCGAATCGCGGTCTTCGTTCTCCTCCACCGTCTTCTCCAGGTAGGCGTACTCGTCGAATTCCATTCTCTCGCCTCCGAAGCCCGTAATCTGAGCTACCAAGCTAGGGTTTTGTCAAAACCCTAGATTTTGCAGAGGGGCAAAAGGAGGGGAAATAGAAGCAAATCTGCGAAAATGGGGAATTTGTGAATTTCTAGGGTTTTGTTCGTTTATTTGTTGTCTCTGTGGAAAATAGCGGACTGGTTTTTATTTGCTGCCTAAGCTGACGTAATAGAATCTAGAATATGGACTAAGGATGTAATTTTGAACATTTATGCTGGTTTTTTTGGGGTAAAAACGACAAAACTCTTTTTTTTATCTTTTTTTTTTTAGTGCTTGACGACCCGTACGTTTTACACCCCTTTTTAATAAAACTTTTTATTCCCAAAATTACCCATTAATAAATTTTATTTAAAGACAAGAGTACCTTAAAAAAAATACTCATTACACACCCTATCTTAAAAAATATATATTGCATTTTAAAAATTATTGTGACTTATTTCTTCTAAAAGAATATGATTGGTTCTAATATAAAAAAGTTTCTAAAAGAAAATATTCGTTTTAGAGAATTACTGTCACTAGGAAGATATTAAAATTGGAAATGGTTCCTTCTCATTATGTTTGAAGAAATACGATGATTATGTAAAAGAAAAAAAATACAACGATTATGTTTGAAATCACTTACAAAGTTGCAAGCAATATAAAGGGTTTGTTTGGCATTACTTTTGGAGCTTGTTTTAGCTTTTTTTAAGAAGTTGCAGTATGTCATGGTGTTTGGTCAAGTATACTTTTGTATAGTAACTTTTAAAAATTGATGCGTCATAGTAGAATTTAAAAAGCAGGTCATAAATTATTTTTACAGAGCAGTTTCTACTTTCATTGTCTAAAATTTATTAAAACAACCTTAATAATAAAACTTAATTCTCAATCTATTTTTTTTAAGAACAATCTATCACTTCTATATAAAATTAAAATATTTTATTTTAAATGTTTATTTGAAAATTAAAAATCCATAATAATATCTTATATTAAATTTTTAATATTTTTAATGATTATCATGAAACGGATAGTTTGAAAAATAAATTGTTGCGAGTTTTAAAAATATTTTACCCTCGTATAATTTATCTCTTTCAATAAAAGAAATTTATTTTTAGAGATGTTTTAATTTCTTATTAAATATATTTTTTCGTAAATGAATGTAACGATGAAAGTAATAGAATTAGGAATGAAAGTAAAGTAACAATTAGATCCAACCAATTCAACCGACATTTGATCATTATTACTATTAAATGCTTTAAGATATAAAGGTGATGATGCGGTAGAAATGGAAAAAAAGAGTATGATGAGAAGATGACATATCAATTTATGGCGTTAATTTCAATAATAGTACTACTGAGGAAATGATTATTAATTTTAGCACAACTTTTGTATAATTTCACAATTAGCATCGCCATGTTAGTAAAAGTGAGACAATGTCATTTTTACTTGAGTTAACATGACAATTGTGCCTCATTTTAATTTTAAAGCCTTGAATATATATTATGAAGCCTTTTATAATTCAAATATTCAAAGTAGAGAGAGGAGGAGGAAAACAAATGCGGGTGTGCACAGAGACCAATAAACCCCAACGACCACCACCGTCTACCACATTGAGTACCGACGAACTCGTAACAACGAGAACCCACGACAGCGAGCACCCACGCAGTGAGAACCCACGTAGTGAGAACCCACAAACCCAAAATCACGCGGCGAGAACCCACGAACCTTCACCAGAGAAATCAACGCCTAACCCATAAGCACAAACCGAGGAAACCTCACCCTCCTAACATTCTTCGCTGGAGAAATCAACCACGAAACAAACGAGGTCAATGACGGATTCCGAGACAAAGGTGAAAACTTTATTGGCTTTTCTTGTTTATTTTTTTTTCTTAGGTATTTATTTTTTTTTTTTTTTACCATTTTTTGTCGTCTTATAAGAAAAGAAAGTCTTACAAGAAAAGAAAGGCTTTAGAGGAGGAGATAAAAGCAGATAATGTCAGTTATTTGAAATTTTTTATTGTCATTGTGCTCCTTATTTGGTCTGTGACTCTGCCTGATGGGCGGTCATATCATTATGACTGATCATAAGACAGGCACAGTGTGTGGTCATAGTACTATGACCGATGGTCATAATTCTATGGCCGATCATCAGACAGGCAGGCTCATAGTGTGACTGCCTGACTGATGAGCCTGCGGTCATAGTATTATGATCGTCGGTCATAGTATTGTGATCGCACTATGTGACTGTCTTATGACTGGCCATCAGCCATAACACTATGAGTGAGCTTGCATGATGGGCAGTCATAGAATTATGACCGTCGGTCATAGTACTATGACCGCTCAATGGTCAGACTCTTAGTGTGCCAGTCATAGTACTTTGATTAACAACTTTGTTTGCCTTTCTTGTTTTTTTTGTATTTATTATTTTTTTTTACCATTTTTTGTCATCTTAGAATAAAAGAAAGGCTTTGGAGGAAGAGATGTCGTTGATAGAATGTGACATCATAGTCAGACGATATCTTTACAGGAGCTTCCCCGTCTTCAACAACATATCTTAAGGAAAAACGGTTTCCTTGTGGCCGAATCTCAAGCACATTTCTCACCAAATCTATAAGACCAATATAAGTTGTGTTGGTGGGGACCAATATCACTTTCATTTCACAACCGATGTATCTCGAAGCACAGTCCCAATATCCATTGTACTTGATGAAGACGTTCAATCCGGCAGTCATTCCTAAATAATTTAAAAAACAATAATTGTTAATCAACATGCAATTACTTATAGTCGTCATTAGAAATTGTCAGTCATAACACTGTGTAATGGCCGGTCATAAGACAGTCATAGTGTGCCAGTCATAACACTATGGGTCATTTCAGTCATAATATTATGACCGGACAGTCATATCACTATGACTGCCTTACGGTCATAATACTATGACCTGCCATTTTGACTTATATTGTTATAATTTGGCTCATAGACAATGACTCATACTGTTATGACTGACTGATCAAAATATTATAACCGGACATATAACACTATGATTCATAATACTATGACTCCTAAGGTCAACTATGTCTTTGACGTGTTGGTCGTTATAATCAGTTTACATATCAGTTATAAACCATCTAAAATCTCAAATTGACGAAGGATATTTTCAATTTCTATCACATTAAGTTCAACCCAGTCATTTTTTTCAAGTTCTATATACTAAGGTCTCGTTTATTTCACCAATTCGAGTTTAAAATTTGAGTTTTGCTACAGTAAAAAAACTCTCAAAAATAGTCACATCTAACTTTTTTGCTACAGTAAAAAGCTCTCACATAAAGTCACATCTCAACTCGAATTAAAAATTCAAATCAACGAACTAAACGGATCCTAAATCTCCCGAAAAATAAATTTAAAAAGACAAATAAAAGGAAAACAAAAAAAATTGTGTACCAACCTCGATCTGTGCACAACCGGAGTATCGCTGACGAGGGAATGAGGGCGTAGGGAAGAGAGAGACTAAGTAGAGAGATGCCAAATTTGAGAGAGAGAGAGAGAGAGCTGAAAATGGGGTGTAGAGAGAGAGAGAGAAGAATAGACGGGAGAGAATTGAGAGTTTCTTTAATGTGCTTTTAAATAATAATTTTGACCTAAGTGACATAGAAGTTATTTTACCTCACAAATCTGTTTGGCACATAAATCTAATTGTAGAGAAGGATTGATATCAAGTTGTATCCCATATAAATATCATTTTTCATTTTCTATAGGAGAATTGAGTTTCATTCCCCTAAAGATTTATGCCCATTATTCATGGAACCCACCAGTTGATGTTGCCTTGTGTGATTTGTGGGGATAAACAGGAGTGCTTATTTTCCATATCCTCCAATTCGTAATGGCGATGATAATCTAAGTTGTGACATGAAATGACACAGATCCAACACAAAATATCAAACACCTTGATATATAATGAAACTAAAAGTGTGTTTAGAACTCGTTTTAAATTAATTTTATTTTTTGTATGAAAATAAAAATAAAAACGTTTTCAATCTCAGACAGAAATTATTTTTAAAAATGTGTTTGATAATTTTATCAAGAGATTATTTTCAGTATAAAAAACTAATTAATGTGTCTCTCTCTACTCGAGAGAGGAAAAAATAAAAACAAAAAATAAAAAAATGACTAAAAATCATTTTTCATTTCTCTCTCATTTTACACTGAATCAAAAAATCGTTTATCAAAAAATCATTTTCATTTTTATTTTTTATCTTTATTGTGTCAAATTACGTTTTAAAGACGTTTTCATTTTTTCTTTCTCGAAAAACGTGAAAAATAAAAGCGAAATCAATTCCAAACACGACCTAAAACTTGCTTATCTTTCATAATTCTACCCATGCCTTCCGTTTTCTTAATGGTCTCGAATAATAAGAGTTAGAGCTTTTGATTTCTCACACTGTCATCATTACAAGTGGAGATTTGGTACAGAAGAAATAGAGAAAATAAGAGTCCATTTGGTAAAGGGATTGAAAATCATAATTCAGAACTATTCTCAATTTATGTGTATTTTTTGTGAGAAAAAATACTGTAACGAACCATGAACCATGATTCAAATCCCTTTACCAAACGGACTCTAAGAATCACTAGAACGGTAGAATTTTTTATTGTGCAAATAAAGAAACATTTGAGCTACTATTAGTCATAATAATATACAAATACACTGACAAATGAACTTTAGGTGCCACTTATTCCCAGAATCCTAACAAAATATTAGTTAAAACACTGAAAAATAAAGAGAGAAAATTGAATAGATAGATAGTAGTACAAATAGATCTTAGAGCCTAGGCTATGAACAATCAACCTAATTTTTAATTTTCAATCACTCCGCTCAACAGAGAACAATTTGATGGTAACAGATTTGTATATAACTCTCTAAAAATACCTGAAATGCTTCAAATTTTTGTGCCGTTACATCATTCTGCTCAAAGGAATTATTTGATTCTGTCGAGAAACCCTCTCTAAAGGAGAAATAACTTGCGGCATTGTCATACCCCCGGAAACAATGATCTCTGCGCCGCAACCCAAGAATAAGAAAAATGTAAGAAAGAAGAAACATGCGATAAAGAATCAAAGATCGATTTTAAAATGCTTTAATAACAGTAAGTTTTACATTTGTGTTTCCTTTTGCCAAAACACATTAGTTTGACTAGTGGTTTTGTCTTACAAAAAGATGAATCGGAATCGTAATGAGAAAACATTATCATGAACCATAAGCAATTGAAAATCCATATTAGCTGTCAGTTATTTATAACACAAATTTTGAGCTATGGTAGTTGTAGCAAAAGTGCAGCTGATGTTATTATAAGCAAAACCAGAGACTAGAATGTTGATGATCCACTAAGGCAGACCACCAAAATAACTACAAGTTCACGAAAAAGTGTCCAAAAATCCTGAAGCAATGCTCTAAACGGCCTTTTAAAGTGAAGTTTCTTACACTAATATAGTACGAATTGTTGTATGGCTAAATGAGTCAATATTTTTCCCTACCAATATAGATCAGAGGATAATAATATTATCACAAAATCAAAGCTTAACGCTAATGTTTGGAAGGATGAAAACGAGGAAGGAAGTGGGAGCCGGGGGGAAAGGATAATTGGATGGAGAATGATAGAGTACCTTGGTTGGTTAAAAAGAGAGAGTAAAATGAAACATTTAATAAGGTGGATAAAAAATTATTGTGCGTCCCACAATTTAATCCTTTCAATGTAGGATGAATTTTTAGGTGAAGAACATAAAACCATTTAATAGTAACCAAATTTACTTTTTTGTCCGTCCTTAGGAAAATATAACAAGTTGATGAATAAATAGATATACAGTGCAAATCTCTCGCTTTCTTTCCTTTCAACCTACCAAATAACCTAAGGGGAAACTTTTTTTTTTTTTTTTCTAACTCTTATATGTGTGTGTGTGTGTATTTTGCTCAGAATCTCTTATATATTTTCTTTCCATCTGTTTTTCTGTCCTTCCTACCAGGCAGAGTGTAAGAGAAAAATTGCCGGACTCTTTTACCAGTTTAACAGGGGGTCATAACAAAGGGTAGAGAGAGCAATAGTTGATAAGTAGTCATACCTATGCCCTCTCGGATTGATAGATTTGGTCTTATGATCTCCTTGGAGTTGATCAGGACTATATCACCGATGTATAGATGATTCGTTGGAATAAAAACACTACATAACTCTTCATCTTCATTATCCTTCTACAGGAAGACCATAAAAAAAGAGCAATATAATTTCTGTTAAACTCAACCCGCACACAACATGCTTAACATGATTCGTTACATGAAACCCACACGTTGAAAAATAGCATTTGTCACCTTAAACTTAACTTCAATATGTTATCATTCCACCAAGTATATATACACACACACATATATATTATCATCATCAAATAATGTCACGTCAAACAAACTTTGTGTTACCAGAGTTGCTAGTAGTTTGGTCTTGCAAGTAGTTATTGCACTGCAACTGGTGCATGGGCCTTGATTCTCGAAATTCATCTACATATCTCAATAAGAAACGGAAGCTTTCTTTTCCTTTGTTTGCCATCGTCCTGTCCTACCATTTTGTCCAGATTTATCTTTGTATATATCTATTTGTTACCTTATTAATATTCCTGGGTCACACTATTTTTGGATTCTTTAGCATCATATTCAATAAAGTGATTAGCCCATCAAATTGGGAATTTTTTTCTCCAAAAATATATTCTGTTATTGCCTATTTCATATATTGACCACTCTGCCAACGACTTACTGGTCTTATAGATAAAGACTGCTTCTAGTTTTCTATACCATTATATGCTTTGTACTCGAAGATCAATTATAAGTTGTTATCCAACCATACAGATGGAACAATTGAAGGTTCAATAAAAATGGTAGTCAATTTTTTAACACTTGGAACATGGAATAATAAAATTGTATCTTTTATTTCTTCTTTTTAAATAAGAAAATGTAATTAGTGTGCATAAGATATCAACCAAAAGTTGGAATAAGCAATATGTCGCATATAAAACATATAAACAAGAACATGAAGGATTGGAATGCAAAATCATCATTACCAAAAAAGAGGCAAACAAACAAACAAAAAAGAAGGAGGGAAAAACCAGTACCTGCAGGGTGACAGTGGATGTAATAAAACCAAAAGCATATTCACCAACTCTTGGGTGACGAATAATTGCAACTTCTTTGAAAGCCGTGGTATTTTGGTCTGTGACAAAAATAAGGTAAAATATCATATTGGCATCTATATATCAAACAAATATCAAAATTGAAGACGAAAAAGTGAATAAAAAAGAAAAAGAAAAAAAGGCCAGGGAGAATATTCTATGCAGACCTTCTATATTCTACAAACAAATCCAAATTTCTAAAAAAAAATTATAGGCATTCCAATGGAGATGGATAATGGACTACTGTTCAGGAAAAATCTAGCCTCGGCAACTTCTCTCCAAAATTTCCACCTGATATGACGCAGATCTACTTTTCCCAAAGTTCGTTGTTTTGACAGATAACTAGATCAACTAAGTCCTCCCAGAGCCGAGTTAGCTAGTTTGACTTTTCAAGTGGGAGCCTGAAAATTCTGAATTCTCAATTGAGGAAAACTTGTGGAGTACTTTTGATTTCATTAGATACAGCAGCCTATTAAGACTCCCATACTAAATATAACAGCCATAAATACTGAGAAGGAAGCCATGCATAAGAATTTCTAAATCCCTCCATCCAAAATCATGTATTTAGCCACCAATCAAATATGGAAATAATAATATTTACCTGGAGAAATCGCAGCACTTATTTGTTTGGATGCGGAATATATATGCTTAACGAAGGGCATTCTCTTTATGAACCATTCTCCAAGTGAGAAAACAGCAGCACCCATCCATGATGAAACAAAAACACCAACAAGGAATACGAAGAGAAGAGATGTGACAAACCCAAGCCCTGCATTTACAAACCAAGTGTTTTGACACATAATACCGAAACAGAATATAAGAATAAGTCAAAAACACTAAACAAAGTGTCATATGAATCAACAACAATCAAGTCATAAAACATGTAAAGTAGGAATAATCGTCTCTCTAAGATTTAGCAGTCATGGTTGAGTCGTAGAATGTAAAGCACGATCATGAATCATAAAACGCATGGAAAACAAGCAATCGCAAGTACATATTATAATCCAGCACTGGCGACCTATGAGACTAACCAGGGAAAAACCCTTCCTCGAGGGAAAATCAATGGAGTTGCAAATTATTGTTATCCTCTCGAGCCCAAACTCCAAAAGACCGCCAAATTGGCAACACAACCTAATACAGTCAAGGATCCTGATTTCTGGCACGCTGCTGATTTTTTAACTATATTTCTTCCCCTTTTATCCAAAATTATGCTTCAATCCCCAATGGTAAAGGTTGATTGCCACCTTTCTTTATCAATTTCAGTAGGTTCACTCAATTTTTCTTCTGTAAGAACTTTCAATCCCTCCACTTAATGACTTTAATTGTTATATCAAGAGGCACTGCACGCAATTAGATCTTTACTTAAAATATAAACTACTTTAAATTGGCAATCAACAATTACCATGGCTCAAATTCTATTGGAAGTGCACTTAACAAAACTTCCTCAAAATGGTACTCTAGACCAATGTGTTTATTTGACTCTAGCTTTGACAGATAGTTTCCTTCTTATGGCCTGCATATGCAGGAAGCTCAACAAACTACTAGGGTGGTTTAAAAATGAATGGTTTGCAAGGTGACAGTATAACTATTGTCTACTTAGCAAACAAGTTACAAAAATAATCTTCCTTACAGTATCTGAACCTTCATCTCTTCATTAGCACCTTACTTTAAAAGATAATTCCATTACCATCTTGCTATAATTGTGCTCTTAATTAGAGCAATAATACCAAATTTAGTATGCCTTTGAACCTTGAGATGTCTCTAATTAGTTTCAAAAATAAGCTATGTCAAAAAGCAATCATCAGAAATATGTCTCACATAGTTAATAGTTGATATGAGCGTTCTTAGCTCCAATCTAATCATGCATTTAAGACTTACCAAAAATGTCAAAGCCAAGTTGCTCATATAGTGGACTGAAGAAACCATCGACAAACTCAATAAACCACCAGGTGATGAAAAATGTAACTGCAACAGGGAACAGAACTACGCTGCAACGTCAAAAATTTTAAGAGACATTAGCTTTTGAAGATCATTAGAAAATAGTCAAACGTTATAAAATCTCAAGCAACAGCTAAGTTTGTTACCATCCAGTCATAAACTTCTTGGACACCCAACTTTGGAGAACAAAACAGCAAGCCTGTACATAATGGAATAAGAAGATCACAATAGGAAACAAGACGACGTCAATGTAACAATAATGGGAATATGGTGATACAAACTTGGGAACTTCCCCTGTAATGTAGGTGTTAATACGCTTCAACAGGAAGCATCGTAAAGCTTTTGGACCAATATCCTAATTGTACAAAGTCTCAGTTTAATCTGTGCATTTTTTCTTGCTTGATACTAGAAATTAAGTTATGTAAACCTTCTTAAAGCATACACTACTCCAAACACAGATTGGTTTCATAGCTGTAGTAAAGAAAAAAAGTAGATGCTAAAAGGAAAGTGTGCATTGCCAACAGCTTATTGATAAAGTTCAAACCATCTGAAGGAGTCATAATATTTAAGCATCTCTTTGGGTCAAACTAAGTCCAAACTCCAAAGTGGCAGCGATGATTATGGGACCTCAAACGTCACTTTTTTCCTTCAATAAACCACTCACATGTCTGGATCCTTACACGGTGCTACTTTGTTAAAACAACTATAAGTAGGACTCTCAGAGGATTTTATAGTATTGTTGAAAAATCTATAACCAAAATCTTACTTCCTTGAACCGTGCAAAAAACAAGATAAACCCATTCATCTAAAAAAATATTCTCAGCAAAAAGCGAAGGCCGTCGCAAATGATTAAAAATTTTCAGGGAGAAGCACCATGCTCGTGCTGTTACTGATTCTTTGTAAATTATGCCATAGCTTCAGTTGAATCTATAAGTAAAAGCCTGTTCTCTTCGTGTTCGAATGTCCACCGGCAAAACCTAAATGGCCAAAATACCCCTCATCTTCCAAAACAACGAATCAATGGGTACTTTTTATTTTCTTTGCTCCTTTACTTTTTCCTTACTTCAATACTACATTACGTTCAGTACTGCTCTTTAACAATAAATAACCTATACTACAGTTCAGAAAACAAGAAATGTCTCCCTTAATTCTGCTTCCTCTTTTTTCTTTCTAATAAAGTTTGCATCTGAAATTCAATCTATAATTCCTTATCACATATTTCAGTAATAATTTCAACTTGCTGAGCATAAAGAGAAACACAATTACAAAATCCCCACCCGTTATCAACCATAACGCAGTTTCTTCATTTTTTTTTTTTGTTTCTGCAAACTAAAGAAAAATAACAAGTCCATTTCCAAAATCCCACATTCTTTAATTCAATCTATAATTCCTTATACATAAAATTTTGCATATTTCAGAAATAATTTCAAGTTCCTGGGCATAAAGAGAACCCACAATACAAAATTCACACCAGTTATCAACCATAAGACAATTCTTCGCGCGCGTGTGTGTGTGTATATATATAAATAAATATATATATATATATAACATACATATTGCTAACTAAAAGGAAAGAAAAATCCATGTCCAAAATCCCACATTCTTCGGAATGCCTCAATTTGAATGAGAAATAAAACCCAAAAAAAAAAAACCCCTAAAACTTGAAAATAAATAATTATGATAATAACAATAATCAGCGAATTGACGGTGGAGATGGAAAGAGGGCGATAAAAGGACGACCTTACGAGTGGACATGTTAGGCGAGCTAGGCGGGGATTTGGCTGGATCCTCCGGATCTTGTTCGCCATTTTCAGCTTGACTCAGCGGAATCGAGGTCGACTGATCCTTTTGTTCCGCCATTTTCTCGAGATTCTTCTCACCACCACTTTCGCCCCCACAGATCTGTGGACTTGAACTTGGCTACACAACAATGCCGGAGAAAATCGGGTCAAGAAGAGAGAGAAAGAGGAGAGAGAGAGAGAGAGAGAGAGAGAAGAGAGAAGAGAGAAGAGAGAAGGAGAAGACGAAGAAGGAAAAATAGTAGTGAACTACCCTGCAGAGAGAGAGAGAGTCGGAGGAGGCTTGGGCGTTAAGACAAAAAAATAACTTTAATTTGATCCACAAACGTTTTATGAGTACTTTCAGCAGTAAGCAATGGGGATGTTTATGCATTTAAGGTTTTTTTTTTTTTTTTGCATTTTTTTTTTTTTCATTTTTTAGGTTAATTGATACAGTTTAGCATAATTTCTTATGAAAAATTTTATTTATTAGGAGATTTTTTCGGTAGTCCGTATGTCTTGAAGAAATTAAACTATAAGTAATTTTTTATTTTTATCACTAAAATTTGATTCAAAACTATCTATTATTGTTTCGTTTACTACCAGTAGAAAATCTCATTGTAGAAGGATCTTATTTATTATTGTTTGGTTTACTACTTTACTTTAAAACTGAAAAAAAAAAAAAAAGAAGAAAGAGTGGTGACTTCTCACCTTATATTACCCTGAATTGAATTACAAAATAGCGTGATGTAATTTTCAAAAAAGAAAAATAAAAGTGTGATGTTGATTTATGGAATAGCCATTGTGTTAATGATATTCTTTATATATATATATATATATATTAGTGGAATGATTAATTTTGTACATTACGATATATAAAATCGGGTGGGTGATATATTGTCATATAGGGAATGATGGTGGGGATGGGATTGGGGTGAAGTAGCAGTAGCTATATCGCTGCCTGCCATATATTTTTAACAAATAATGCAGCATACTTATATAATAAGGATAATTTAGTAATAGGATCGAGAATCTCAGAGCCCATTTGATTGGAGAATTCGTTCTTTGATTCGAATCATGATTCATGGTTCGTTATAGTATTTTCTCTCACAAAAATACACGTAAATCGAAAATAATTCTAATCTCATGGTTCTAATCCATAAATCAAACGGGATTAATTGCACCATAAATTATTAAGAGGACGTCTGTTTTCTGTATTCGTCTATGATTCTAAATCATAATTCATGATTCTCTACAGTGTTTTTCTCTCATAAAAAATACACGTAAAACGAAAATAGTTCTGAATCATGATTCTGAATACATGAACTAAACGTCCACTAAGAATACGTTTGGTTCATGGATTAGAATCATGAGATTATAACTATTTTTCATATACGTGTATTTTTTGTGAGAGAAAACACTGTAGCGAACTATGAACCATGATTTAAATCGGGGTATGAATCTCTAACTAAACAACTCTTAAGTGTAAAATCTTAATATGTTTTTACAATCTAAATAAGATTAGATTGCATTTAAATCTTTCTGTTTAAGGTGGAATGAAATGAGTAAACATATTTACAAATGAAAGTGTTGTCCATAGTCATGGACCACATAAAACATAGAGGTTGAGGTCGAGTGGAATGTCAAAACTTTAGGTGTGTTTAGAATTCATTTTAAAATTATTTTATTTTTTGTATAAAAATAGAAATGAAAACGCTTTCAATCTCATACAGAATTTATTTTTGAAAATGCGTTTAATAGTTTTATTAATAGATTATTTTCAGTATAAAAAAATCTATTAATGTCTCTTTCTCTACTCGAGTGAGGAGAAAACGAAAACAAAAAATAAAAAACAACTAAAAGTCATTTTTCATTTCTCCCTCATTTTACACTAAACCAAAAAATCATTTTTTTTTTATCCTTAATTGTGTCAAGCGTCGTTTTTCTCCAGTTTTTATGCTTTCTTTCTAAAAAAACGTGAAAAACAAAAATAAAAACAACTCTAAACACAACCTTTATTTACCACAGTGTATACATGCCCTTGAACTATTAGCATCGTGACGATTTCACCCCCAAATTAGTCCTCAAATTAACACTTAAATTGACAATAAATTTTGAAAATTAATGGAGATATCACAGGTTCAATACACAATTATTATTATTATTATTGTCATTTTCTATGGTGATGAATAACATTTTTCAGCTAGGGCTGATGAATAACATTTTTTCAATGTCCACGCATTGACACATCGTGTTTTTTTCTTCTGCCAATGATTTATTTTGGTTAGAAGATTTATGATTTATTTTTGTTAGAAGATTTCCTTCTGTATTGACGAGTTTGTAAGTGCCGATATGACAGTTCTTTTATAATACAATCCGATTTCATTTAAAAAAAAAAAAAGAATAGCATTTTAGGGCTGATGGCTTTTACGATTGTTAACTCCAACTTTGTGTGACACGCAAAACATCAAACATTTTACTTCTATCTTAATCGAACAAAAAAAAAACAGAGAGAGAGAGAGAGATTGAGTGCTTGGGAAGGTGTTGTTCCTTATGGGACAAAACGTTTTTTGAGTTCAAAAGCAAACCACCTTTTTTACTCATTTTTTATCCAAATGCCAACCCTCCATGTGAGCCACTTATGCTATGTTTGGTAGGAAGGAAATAAAATATGATAGAAAGGAAATATAGAAGTGATGAAAAATAGAAATGATGAAAAATAAATTGATTTTCTTTTATGTTGTTTGGTATGAGAAGATGGAAAGAAAATGAGCTTACATTCACTTGTTTAGTATTGGAAGTTAAATTGGGAGAAAATAAAAAATCTTACTCGTAAATTACTTTTATACCCTTAAATTTTTTGCTTGGATGTTAATGGAGAAAATGGTAGTTTAGTAACTTTACTCACTTTAATGAGTTATTCCCATTTTCCATCCCATTTTCTGCCCACTTGTGAAAAGAAAAAAAATAGTGGGGTCCACATGTATTATTTTTCACTATATTTTCTCTTCATTTCTCTTTTCTCTCCTACCAAACAACCTACATTTTCATTTTCCCTCCCAAAATCCCTCCACCTTTTTCCTTCCTTCTACTTTTCTTTCCTACCAAACATATTCTTAATACTCCAAAATATTTAAAAACATAATGACAGAAAAAGCTATTCAAAACATCATGACAGCTCATGTAGGCCTCGTTCATTTTACTGATTTGAGTTTTTAATTTCAATTTTATTACAGTTAAAAGCTCTAATAAAAGTCACATCTAACTTTTTGTAAGGGTGACAATTCGTGTTAGTGGGTTGTGTTCGTTCAACCCGTTTATTAATCGTGTAAAAAAATATCAACCTAAACATGACATGTTTATTACACGTGTCAAAAATGTCAACCCAAACACGACCCATTTATTAATCATGTTAAGCGTATCAACCCGTATAACTCGTTTAAATTAATATATTGAATAAATAATTAATAAAACAATGACTTATTTAACAGGTTAAGATATGTTTAACATGTTTATTGGTCAATTTATCTTTTTATTTAAAAAAAATAAATGAATTTTACCTACAAATATTAAAATTCACATTATTTGTATTTAATATATCATATAAACTTTTATGTTATATCACATATCATTAGATTACAGGTGATGCATATAGTTAATCGTGTCAATTCGCGTCGCTTTATGTTAGGAGGTCAACCCTAACTCAACCCATTTTATTAATCGTGTCAATCCGATTATGATCTAAACCCATTTATAATAAACCTAAACCCGTTAACTTTGTGTGAGTTTCGAATCGTGTCATTAGCTGGATTGTCAGCCTCACTTTTTTTACTTAAGTTAAAAACTTTCATATAAACTCACATCTCAACTCAAATTGGTGAACTGTATAAGGCCGTAGAGAAAAACCTAAACCAGAACAAAAGGAAAAAGACAATGAGGATGAAGATTTAAAACCCAGTGCCAAAAAGGCAAGGGGCATATGGCCCCAACAACATCACACCTCCAAAAGCTCTCGCGCTTTTGGTTTTGGATGGCCCAACCCAAATAGTTATTCGAGAACTCAACTATGGCAGGTAGTACTCTTTTCGTATAACCATACCTTTTGGACAATATGCGGTTGTCCCACTAGAATATTTTCTTTTAATTTTATATGTATATTTTTATTAAAATTTGCAGTTCACCCCTCTTAAAAATCTGAAATTAAGTCCGTTTAGTTGGAGGATTCGTTATCTGATTTAAATTATAATTCATGATTCGTTACAGTATTTTCTCTCATAAAAAATACACGTAAATTAAAATGATTATAATATCATGATTCTAATCTATAAACCAAACGTCTCAAAAATCTGCGCTCAGCCTCATTTTATTTTATAGTCCCTCTCGTGTTTGTATAAATGGTCTTTGAATTTTTAACTTGACAAAAATATCTCTACCGTATTAAAACGGTTGTAAAGGAACCAAATTTGATAACAAATGTAAAAACTAACTCAATATCAATTTTTGGTCAAAATTATTATAACACCCGTAGAATAATTTATTTTGTTAAAAAAAAATGAAAAATAGAGATACTCTTTAAAACACCATAAAAGCCCCAAGAAAATAGCATAAAAAGAATAAAAGGGAGAGCGAGAAAAAAGGTGATGAAAGGTATAGTTTTCATAAATATTTTCCATTTCGATATTATCTGTAGAGCAATTTACTACTCAATCGCAAACATTTATAGAATATTTTTAAAATAAATAGGGAAAAATAGAAAATTTACGTTTGAGAGTGCATGAGCATGGACATTTATCTCTTACTCTTGATAATACATTTTTATTAGTATAATTATTTGACTAAAATGGTTATAAATCAATAATAAAGAGTAAAAATCCCGATTCATACACTTTTAAGGATATTTGTCAAGATTACCATTTAATAGATGATCAAATAACCAATTTTTAAAGACTTAGATTCCGTTCATTTTACCAATTCAAATTTAGAATTTAAGTTTTACTATAGTACAAAGTTCTAAAAAATAATCACATTTAATTTTTTTATTACAATAAAAATTTCTTACATAAAATCACATCTTAAAAATTTAAATTATCAAACTAAACGAACCTAATTCAAACAGAATGTTGTGTGTTTAAGGGCGATGTTCGAGAGTGAAGGGAAAGCGCGCGTCTTAGAACGAAGACGACAGTGGGTCTTGTGAGTGGGTGGACTTGAGATGCAATTAATTTCAAAAACAAGTTTTTTTGGTATAATTTCAGATGGCATGAGTTGATGTTTGACTACTGCTTAGATCGAGCCTTACTTAAACCAACTTTTGGATTTAATTTGTTTATTAATGCATAAATTATTTACACCGAAAAAATAGGTTATTTAGAGGACATTTAGTTGGAGAATTCAAATCATGTGATTTGAACTATTTTCGATTTACGTGAATTTTTTGTGAAAGAAAATACTGTAGCGAACCACGAATCATGATTCGAGTTTTTAATAAATATGCTGCCTTTTATGGACGATAATAAATATGCTGCTTTTTATGGGAGATAACAAATATGTTAGACCCGTTTAGTTCGTAGATTCGAGTTTTTAATTCGAGTTAAGATATGATTTTATGTGATAACTTTTTATTACAATAAAAAAGTTAGATGTGACGTTTTTTAGAGTTTTTTACTATAGAAAAACTCAAATTCTAAACTCAAATCAGTGAAATGAATAAGACTGTTGTTTAATTTAATCGAAAAAAAAGTTTCAAAAATATGCATTTTTCTCTTTATCGCTTTAATAAAAAAGGCAATCCTTTCTTTATTTTTTTCAGTTATATACAAAAAACAGTCATTTTCTTTAATGGGAGCTTCTATAAACAACTAAAAATAAATTAATGATATTTTTTTTATTTTTTAACTGTTAAATTTATATTCAAAATTATATATTTTGTATATATTTTTTAATATAATGTGACTTTAATTAAAAAAATACTGATTTTATCAATATTTTAACCTACTAGATCTTTCTTTAATCTTTAATTTAACAAAACTCTTAAAGTCATTTCTCATATCTCTAAAAGGTTTTCAAAAATAAAAATTTAGTTTATTTTTTTTTCACAACTCAAATAATAGTTCGTGTTTTTAAATTATTTTTTGACAAAAATTTAAATTTAATTTTGTTTGTTACAAAACGTTTGGTTCATGAATTAGAATCATGAGATTAGAACCATTTTCGATTTACGTGTATTTTTTATGAGAGAAAATACTATAGCGAACCATAAACCACGATTCGAATTAGGGTACGAATCCCCTTACCAAACGTCCCCTCACACACGAAAAATTAGGCCCGTTCAGTTTGTTAATTCGAGTTTTTAATTCGAGTTGAGATGTGATGTTGTGTAAGAGTTTTTTACTGTAGTAAAAAAGTATGCCTCGTTCATTTCACCGATTCGAGTTTTCAATTTTAGGTTTTTACAGTAAAAACCTCTCAGAAAATGTCACATCTAACTTTTTTTGCTACAGTAAAAAGCTCACAGAAAATATAACATCTCAACTCAAATTAAAAATTCGAATCCGCAAAGTGAACGAGGTCTAAATATGACCGTTTTGGAGAGATTTTTTCTAAATTCGAATCTAAAAAGAACGTGACTTGAGTGAAAAGAACTTTACAAACGACAGTGCGTCATAAGCTGTCCGTACTTTTGGATAGTACGATGGTTTTTTTTTTTTTTTTTTGGACAGACAGGTAGGCCGTTTGTTTCGCGGCTTTGAACAGGAAATTTTGAAGGGTTGAAGTCGCTGCTGCCATGACCGCCAATAACTCCGACTACGCTTCGGTCAGTATTTTTCACCATCTTTCTCTTTTCCTTTTTTTTTTCTCATTGAATTTCTGCGTTTCTCTTTGTTGGATTCCATGTCTTGTTTCTTTCTGTTATTCCCATTTTCTTTCGTGTATTTGGTTTTGATTGCTCATGAATTCGTACTATGCGGTTGTTAAATTGGTTTCTCTGTTTTATACTAATTCTTTATCTATTATATTAGATAGATTATTTTGGGCTTTGGGTTTTCTCTTTTATCTTTTTTTTTTAAATCTTTTTTTTTTTTTTAGTTTTATTATTCGAGAAATTTACACCAACACCAGAAACGCCTGCTTCAACTGCTCAATGCTTGTTCAAGACTTCGATCCGTTAAAGCAACGATGATTCTCCATGCTCTCGCCGTCACTGTGGGTCCCATTCCCACACAAACGATATTTGTTCGCAACAGTATCATGTCGATGTACGCGTCGCTCGGCGAGCTATCGGTAGTGCGCAAACTGTTTGAGAAAATGCCTGAACGAAATGCGGTGTCGTATAATACGGTCATTGGTGTTTATAGTAGACGTGGGTACGTAGAAGAAGCCTGGAAAATGTTCTATGAGATGAGGGGTGATCATGGAATTGAGCCGACACAATTCACTTTCAGTGGGTTGTTGTCATGCGAGTCGTTGGATGTTTGTAAAGGTGTTCAGCTTCAGGCATTAGCCGTAAAGAATGGATTGTTTTTTCCTGATGCTTTTGTGGGCACTGCTTTACTGGGTATGTACGGAAAGCACGATTGGTTGGATGAAGCGATTTGCGTATTTGAAGATATGCCTCGTAAGAGCTTGGTGACGTGGAATTTGATGCTATCTTTGCTTGGTCGTTATGGTTTTGTTGAAACCTCTGTCTTTTTATTTCGAGAGCTTATAAGGACAGAGGCTGCTTTGTCTGAGTTTCGATGCTATCTTTGCTTAGTCGTTATGGTTTTGTTGAAACCTCTATCTTTTTATTTCGAGAGCTTATAAGGACAGAGGCTGCTTTGTCTGAGTTTTCTTTTGTGGGCGTGCTTTCTGGATTTTTATGCAAACAAGACCTTGAATTTGGGGAACAAATTCACGGTTTGGTAATAAAAACTGGGTTTGATTATGAAGTGTTGGTGGTGAACTCTCTCATCAACATGTATGTCAAATGTGAGGCAACATGCTTGGCAGAGAAAATGTTTGAGGAAGTGCCTGTTCAAGATGTTGTAACGTGGAATACTGTCATTGGTGCAGTGGCAAAAAGCGAGAGACCTGAAAGAGGATTAGAACACTTTTCGAAGATGTCCATTGGTGGAGTGATGCCTAACACTAGCACATATCTTAGCCTTATTAACTGTTGTATCAATATGGCGATCCCAATTTATGTAGAGGTGATCCATGCAAAAGTAATCAAGAATGCTTTTGGATTTGATGTTTTTGTGGGTAGCACATTGGTCGGTTTATATGCTAAATGTGATAACTTGGAAGGTGCTCATCGTTGTTTCCATGAGATATCCGGAAAAAATGTAGTGTCCTGGAATGCCTTGATTTCTGGTTACTCAAATAAATGCTCTTCAACATCAATTTCTTTACTACGAGAAATGCTTCGGTTAGGTTACCAACTAAATGAGTCAACATTTTCAGCTGCTCTTAAGTCATTAGCAGCATTAGAACTACAACACCTTCATTGTTCGATCATAAAAATGGGTTATCAGAACAATGCATATGTATTAAGCTCTCTTGTAGCCTCATATGCCAAAAATGGTCTGATATCTGATGCCTTGGCCTTTGTTACAGCTTCTGATAGTCCTCATCTAACAGTCCCCTTTAATATCAGTGCGGGAATTTATAACAAATTTGGATATTATGAGGAGACACTGAACTTACTTTCTCTACTTGAGGAACCTGACAGTGTATCTTGGAACATAATGATGGCAGCTTGTGCTCACAATGATTATTACGAAGAGGTCTTTGAGCTTTTTAAGCAAATGACTATGCTTGATATCTATCCCGACAATTATACATTTGTCAGTCTTTTAAGTGTATGTGCTACACGTTGCAACCTTGCTTTGGGAAGTTCTGTTCATGGTCTTATCATAAAGACATATTTTAATTGTTGCGACACATTTCTCTGCAATGTGTTAATGGACATGTATGGAAAATGCGGGGACATTGCATGTGCAGTGAAGGTTTTTAATGACACGACAAATAGAAACCTCATCACATGGACAACTCTAATTTCGGCTCTTGGTCTTAATGGTTATGCTCAGGAGGCATTAGAACGGTTCAGAGAAATGGAGTTACTGGGGTTTATGCCTGATAGGGTAGCCCTTAATGCTGTGCTTACGGCATGCAGACACGGTAGCTTAGTAAGCGAGGGGATCGAATATTTTAGGCGAATGACGATGAGTTATGGGGTTGAACCAGAGATGCAACATTATCAGAACGTGGTGGACTTACTAGCTAAAAGTGGGCATGCAAGGGAGGTAGAGAAAGTAATTGCCAGCATGCCTTTCCCACCAAATGCCATGATATGGCGTAGTTTCCTTGAAGGCAGCAAGAGACATGAAACTGCCGTTATCTAGCCACTGGCCATTTAGATACGATCCAATTTAAGATAACCTCTAGATGTTTGCCTATAGCACATGTTTGTTGACATCCAAGCTTAAATTGTCAAAAATTTATTGAAAAAGGTTTAAGGGAACAGAAGAGGTGGAATCATTTTGCTTATTTTTCGGTTTTACAGCAGGTTAAGGTCATCCGTCACATGCAATTTGATTTATGAGGTACTCTATAGGCTTATTTTGTGATACTGCTTAGTGCTTAGTAAATCCGAACCAAGACAATTTTATTTAAATTTTAAAGTCATCCAACAAATTGATTGATTTGTTAATGCAGGAATTGGATTTTTCACATCTCTTCCCTTTGTATCCTTTGTTGGTGTTTTCGTTTCATCATGATGGATGCTGCTGTTTTCTCACTTGGAGGATGGTTTATAAAGAGAATGCCCTTCTTTAAGCATATATATTCAGCATCCAACAAATAAGTGCTGCAATTTCTCCAGGTAAATATTCTTATTTCCATATTTGATTGGCGGATAAATACATGATATTGGATGGAGGGATAATGAAACTTAAGAATATTTCTATGCATGGCCTCTTCCTCGGGTGTAGTTAGCGGCTATTATATATTACGATTGTCTTACGACTACTTTATTTAATGAAGTCAAAAGCACTCCACGAGTTTTCTTAATACCTCGGAATTTCTGAACTCTCACAGCTGAAAATTCCAATTAGCTACCTCTTGTCTGGGAGAGGACTTAGTTGATCTAGTTATATGTCAAAATAAAGAACTTCGGGGAAAGTAGATCTGCGTCATCTCAGACGGAAATTTAGGAGAGAAATTGCTGAATCTGGAGATTTTCCTGAACAACAGTCCTTCATCCACCTCCATTGAAATGCGTAAAATATTTTGTTTGTGGAATATAGAATCCCCGCAGAGAAAATTCCCCCTAGCCTTCCTTTCTTTCTTCTTTTTAGTCAAATTTTCATCTTCAAGGTTAATGTTGGTTTGATATGTAGATACCATCGTGATATTTTACCTTCTAGATAATTTAACAGTGCAAGTATGTTCAAATTCCTAAAAACCGGCAGTGTGCCTTACTTTTGTTGCAGACAAAAATACGACAGCACTCGAAGAAGTTGCAATTATTCGTCACCCAACAGTTGGTGAATATGCTTTTTGGTTGTATAACATCCACTGTCACCCTGTAGGTACTGGTTTTTCCCTCTTTTTTTTTTTTTTTTTTTTTTTTTTTTTTGGGTTTTGTTGTTTGTTTTTGTTTTTGTGTGTTTTTCCCCCTCTTTGGTGATAACCGTTTTGCATTTCAATCCTTCAAGTTCTTGTTTATGGTATTTTATCTTCCTACACTTTGCTGTACCAACTTTTGGTTGATATCTTGTGCACACTAATTACAAAAAAGAAGAAAGAAAAGATATAATTGTATTATTCCATGTTGCAAGTCTTAAAAAAATGATTACTATTTTGTTGAACCTTCGATTATTCCATCTGTATGGGTTGCTTGGATAACAAGTTAGATTGATGTTGAAGTACTACGCAAATAATGAAATAGAAAACTCCTTTCAAATAATGGCTCATCCGAATTGCAAACATTAACAGGCTAATAAAACCTTATTTTACTAGGAGTTCTAACTAAATAAAAGAAGGAACAAACTTAAAGTCCTACTATTCAAAAATGATTTTTCAAACTTAAGTCCTATTATAAAAAAATATTTTTCAATGATAGTACTGATTCTTATCATTTTCTGTTAGAAATTATAGCAATTAATGAACCATAATGGTAGTGTATTCTATGATTACTTGACTTAAACCAGTGTCATTCATAACATACTTTTATTAGTATAATGAACATAATTAACCAAAAACAAAATTACAATACATAAAATAGAATCCTAATAACACAATGATAGTTCCATGTCCAACATTTCCTCAACAGAGGAAAGATTTGGTTTTCACCAGCGGATTTCCCTTTTTACTTCTAATTAGAACCTCCTTTGCTTCTTGAAAGTATTATCAGGCCCCATATTGTTTTCAGCTTTTGCCCCGGACGAGTCAACCTCCATATGGTCTTCGAAACCTTGTTGATATTTCTGAGTTGTCGGAAATCTTTCCCTTTTCCTACCAGATACAGCGCTGTCCGCAGAGCCTTGCAGGAGGTCTGGGTGCTGTGAGCTTGTTTGTTGGCTTTCTTGACGTATCAACATATGAGGCAGGTATTGAAAAAACCCGAGCTGAACACCATCATCGATGCACTGTGGAGGCTCTGTGTGGTTGATTCCTATCGGAGATGACCCTATCGGCAGAATCATGGTGTCTTCTTGATGCTGCTGTAGCTTTAGTATAAAAACTTAGAACCGAATCTGAAACTAGACTTAAGTCGCTTAACGTTCATGGTTTGCTCTGGAAAAAAAAAAAAAA